TACATATAACATTGACTATTTCGACTCGAGATTTGACTAGATACACCTGGAAACCCAGCACTGAACTTTTCAGGAGTACTATTTTATAATGTAATTTTCGAAATTCAATCGGTTTTAAACCCTGCCAGGGGCCGCCTACCATCTTTTCGGGCCGTTCAATATGGTGTCACAAAACCGTCCGATGGGCTGTATATAATATTGACAATTTCGAATCGAGATTTGGCTAGGTACCCCTCAGTACCCAACGCTGAAATTTTCAGAAGTACTATTTTATAAGGTAATCTTCAAAATACAACCAGTTTTAGACCCCGCCAGGGCCCGCCCACCCTCTTTTCGAGCCGTTGAATATGACGTCACAAAAACGCTTGATGGGCTGTATATCACATTGATGTCAATGAAAAGCATTGGTGTATTCAGCAAAGTTGTATATTTTAGTGATGCCAACAATTTCTTAGAACATGATGAATTGATCAAATTTGAAAAAAAGCACTAATTAACTTAAAAAACCAATTTTAATGTAGTCTTAAAAGAAAATCTATTATAGCTCTACAGAGTTATGATGTAGAAATTTGGTGTCTTTAGCAAATGTTCATGAAATCAACTGCTCTGCAACTTTGTCCAAGACATGGAACCATTATCTCGTAACTGGAAAAAGTTAGAATTTGGATGTGTAATACTAGCTTAAAGATTATTCAGGTGTGTATTTCAAAAGATGCGAGTTATAATTTTGAGCAACTTCTCCCAATACACCCAGTCTCTAAAACGTCGAAAAAGGGTAGAAAATATTTTTGACCGTCTTTATTCATATTCGTGCCACTGTGCAACGCTTCCAAAACTCAACTTATAATATTTCCACATAAGCCTAGAGCTTCCTTTTTGAAACCTAGTAGTAGTCACGTAGTCACTATGAACGGAGTTCCTATTTCCTGGTCAAACCAAGTGAAATATCTTGGATTAATAAAGGGTGTCCACGATGAAATTGCCACACTATGAAATTGCTCTAACTTTTTAACCGTTGGGTAGAATTTAATGAAAATTTGGGTGGATTTAGTTCATGGTGCATTATTTACATCCTGCAAGTTTTAAAGTCCTGTGATCAAAACTCGCGGAAATGGAGTCGAAAGAACAGCTCGTGCGTGATAAAATCTTGCGCATTCATCACGAAAACAAGGATCTCTCGCATCGTTCCATCGCTAAAACGTTGGGAATCGCGAATTCCACGGTGTCCCGAGTGATTAAGCGGTTCGAGGAACGGTTGACCACCGATCGGAAGCCCAGAAGTGAAGGAAAAAGTATTCCGTACAACACCAAAAATCACAACCGCGTAGTTGGGGCCTTCAACCGAAATCCGAACGTCTCCGTTAGGGATGTGGCTAAGAAGCTGCACCTAAGCCGAAGTTTTGTCCAGAAGGCCAAAACTAAGGCTGGGCTTCGAACGTTCAAGGTACAAAAGGCCCCTAATCGCGACGAGAAGCAGAACAAGTCCGCCAAAACCCGTGCCAGGAAGTTGTACCTCAACATGCTGACGAAAGTTGAATGCTGCATCATGGACGACGAAACATATGTGAAGGCCGACTTCAAACAGATCCCCGGCAACCTGTTTTTCACGGCCAAGGATAAGTTCAGCGTTCCGGAGCATGTCCGCACTCAGAAGATGTCCAAATTTGCGAAGAAATTCCTGGTTTGGCAAGCCATCTGCACGTGCGGGAAGCGGAGTGCACCTTTCGTGACCCAGGACACGATGAACGGACAGGTGTACATACAAGAGTGCCTCCAGAAGCGGCTGCTTCCTCTCCTGAAGGCCCACAACGTCCCAACAATCTTCTGGCCGGATTTAGCCTCATGCCACTACTCCAAGGACGTGCTGAAGTGGTATGCGGACAATAAGGTCAATTTCGTGCCGAAAATGCTCAACCCTCCCAACACTCCGGAGCTCCGCCCCATCGAGAAGTACTGGGCGATTATGAAGCAGCACCTTCTTAAACGACCTAAGGTAGTGAAGACAGTCGAGGAACTGAAGAAAGTATGGGTTTACATGCAAAAAACGGTTGATTCACAGGTTGTGCAGAATCTTATGGCCGCGGTTAAGGCCAAGGTGCGGGCATTTGCGTATGGACTGTAAATAAAATACCAGTAAAATGGTAAAATGAAGTTTAATAGTTATTTCTCAATCCCTGAAAATTTGATGGCAATCGGATGAAAACTCGAATTTTGCGAATCAATTTTGTGTGTGGCAATTTCATCGTGGACACCCTTTACTTGACCAAAAATTAACTTTTAAAGATCACATTGAGGGCATTCAAACCAAATGTAACAAATATATAAAATGTTTGTATCCTCTTATAAACAGGAAATCCAAATTTTGCCTGATGAATAAACTTCTAATATTTAAACAAGTTTTTAGACTGACCATGCTTTATGCTGTGCCAATATGGTCTAGTTGTCGCACTACCAAAAAAAAAAGCACTTCAAAGGATTCAAAACAAAGTTCTGAAGATGATTTTGAAGTTGCCTCCCTGGTACAGTACTACCGAAGTACATAGAATTTCGAATGTTGAGACTTTAGAACAAATGTCCAACAAAATACTTAATAATTTCAGACAAAAATCGTTGTAATCCTCAATTGCAATGATTAATTCCCTTTATACTTAGTTAATATTTAGTGTTAGTTTTTAGTTTTAAGATTTAAATTGTTATACTGACATGTAGGTTTAAAAAAACCTGTTTAAAATACTGAATTGCCAGGGCAGGAACAATGTAAAAACACTTAGCTATATATCATAGCAATTAAGGCTGGTAAGTTACTGTAGTAACTGGAGCACCTAGGTTAAAATGAAATGTAATTTATTTTGAATTTGGAACAAATAAAGAGTTTAACAAAAAATAATAATTAGCAGAATCTAGTTGGACCGTTTGCAATTCGCATGTTGCGTTGACAAAAACGGAACGCAACCTGAATAGGTATTTGCCACAGCGTAGTCAGCAGCATTGTGATGTTGATGTCTAATGTGTGAAATTGATCTCCAACCAGCCCGTCACGGCACCTTCGATCGTATTTATTCTCTGAAATACTGGCTGGAACAAGCAGAGCAAATAAACGCTACACTCTAGCGCAAACAGAGCGATGGGTAGGGCTCACATTTCACGCTGGATCGATACAAAATCATCAATCTGCGGCTAGCTGATGCAGCTAAATGAAGGCACTGCGCCACTCCGGGCAATCAATTTAAAGTTTGGGCTCACAAAGCTACCCATCGGTGCGACCATCGTGATGGCTAGGTATGCTGTGTTGTGTGCAGTTGGAAAATGATGAGAAAAAATCGTGTTCTGAAAATACCGGAGTCATGGTTCAGTTGCCAGGGTCCAGCACTAACAATTTTGCTACGTGATGGTATGGGTAGCTGGGATGGGATGTTGGTCTGAAGGCATAGAAAGTAGCATTTTTGTTTAGCTAGAGGCTCTCTGTTTATGGCTGCGGATACAATGCAAAATGAATGTAAGTATTGGCCCTCCCACTGAGGGAGAGGCGCCGAGAGACGAGAGGACTCAAAACGCATTTCCCAATCAGACCATCACACCATCAGCATCATCATCATCCTGACTGACTGTTGAGCGCAGATTTGAATGGAATAGGATTGGTGCTGGTGAAAGAGAAAAAAGCAACAATTTTATACATTTTATATGCGATAAACGCGTTGATGATGGGAATGAAGAATCGTGGCAAACTTTGAATTTCCAATAGTGAAATAGGAGAGTTGTAGTTAAGTTTCATCGCTGGTTAAATGATGTGAAATTTCAAAGAAAATCTTTTCCACATCACATCGTAGAAAGCCTCATATTTCGAAAGCTTTCCAACTCTGAGTTAAATGTCTGAACTATAAATTCTATAACGTGGTGACTACGTGGATTTATAATACTAACGGATGTAATTCTATGTCTTTGAATCGACTGATGCTCGGTCAAAAGACAAAAAATAGTGGGAGGACAATAATTTTTGTTAGACATATTACTAACGAATTGATGATGGGATCCATAGATTCAACATTCATTGTTGTAAAAAATATTTAGAATATACTATTAAAGCTCACCCTTTTACGATACGTAATTGTTTTTGTTTTAATCACCATACCACTAATATCGCCATTTTCTTCAAACACCCACTTTGCAGAGCAGCCCATTGAACCCCAACATCCCGTTGGTCGTCGACGCATCGGGGTTTCGGTTTGGGTGGGTGATTTACCTCCCTATGAAAATCTCGCTTTCCTCCAGCCACGAGCTCGCGTTCGCCCTTTTCCCAACCGATCGGAGTCGGCCTGATGCTACGTACTAGCTCCACCGTTTATGAATGATCTTATCACGATTTAGTTAATAACAGAGGAGCGTTGCGAAAATATAGCTGCCATAGTTCCATCGTCGTCGTCGTCGTCGTCGTTACGAAATCGATCATATCGCTCTCCGGGATAAATAAATCATTCCAGCAGCGAACACCAATCGGACTATAAACATGACGAATTCATTAGCATATTCGTCTTTTTCATGATCGCAACCCATTGGTCGACCGGTTGAACCGGGGAATAGAGTGGAGTGAAAAATTGTCATTGTGCTTGCTGCCATTCGATGCAGTAACTTCCACAGCTCAGTAGGTAGTGATCCACAAAGAACCCGATTGCGGGGCTCCAACTCCAGAGAGTTGGGTGGTGTGCTGGGGTGTGTTTGTATTTTTTTTCCCCATTGTGATGATTCCAATTTCACAGCAGCGTGAAAAGCGGCACATTTTATGGTGATTGTGCCATTAGCCAGCGTCGAGGGCGGATCACCCATTATTATGCACACGGTGTAGAATACAATGACGGCAAAAAATAGTCAGCAGCAGTGTCTGGTACTAAGCAGAAGAATGGTCGTTTTTCGTTGGGACTCTATGATGGGAAAATTCAGCTGAGTGTACGTGTGTCTGTGCTGTTTTGCTACTGGATACCATCGCATCCATCGGTGGGGTTTTGCAGTGCCGAATTGATGCTGTGTGTGCTCTATTATACGACACCAGAGTGGCTGTCGCCGAGCTTGAAGAGAGCGTGGCAAAAAAAAAACTATCGCATCCAGATTAGTATGTGGGTGGCATTCGGGTGGTGAAAAAGTATTTTTTTTGTGGGTGATTTACGTGAACGAGTTCTTGTGGAAAAGAGTGCGCTTCAGTGATGATGCAGCTTTGCGATCGGATGAAAGTGAGATTGGTGGAATTTGAAATTCTGTGCTAGCGTGAATATTCTCTGCACTGGGAAAAACCAAAGCGGAATCTTTATCAGTTCTGGTATCATGTGATATCGATTGCAGAGTGCTAATAAAGTGATTCAAGTCATTTGAGCTCGTAGAACGTGATGACGGAAAGATTGTCTCAACAAGGTTGAGAGAATGCAGCAGTAGAGGAATTTTCTCAGGGTTACATATACGTTGCAGACACCGTGAAGAGCAATGAGCAAGCAGAATTTGAAGGTAAGTTTCGAAGATCAACTACTTACATTGTAATTATAACTGTAACAAAAGTTTTCGCCAGACTCGAACTAACTGAAACGTTCGATGAACTACTTCTTAGGCTGTGAACCATTTGCCGAGTTAAATTTAACTCGTGGTTAAAAGTGACATTTCGAAAGTTATTTTGTATGTTCGAAAATCCATGTGCTGTCGATCGACCGGTTTTCGAGAAGAACTTAGCCAAGGTTGTCAAAATTTAACTTCTTGTCTGTCAGAAGTAACCACGCTCGGATAGCAGGGTTAATCTATAACTTTCCATCTGTCAAATTTTAACCAAAAGTTAAAATAATCCACCAAATGGTTCAGAGCCTTAATGTCAATAATTGGGATATCGTTCTTTACACCTTTAGGTTGTTAAATTTGATTTGGATCCGCTGAAGTAAAATCTGATGTTGAATTTATAACAAGTCTATCATTTAAAAATGAAAGTGCGTTTGTTACATTTAAGGGCGTAGCCAGTAGACTGATGCAAAATTTGAAATTTTCGCTGCACAGTGCTCAAACGGTTCCAAATTGGGCCCTGATTAGCCTCCCAAAATTTGAACTCATTGAGTGAGAAACTGACTTGGCACAAACCATTTGAAGTTTATATGGGAATTACTATGGAGAAACCTTAATTTCGGTTCATATCTATCTCAAAATTCACCAGTTCACTCTACTTCAGAAAATGATAGCTGAGCTTATTTAAAATTTTCTCAGCTACAACTTTATTCAAGACCACTTTTCGATCAAATGTAAGGAACAAAAGTTATTAATGATTCAAGTCACTGATGTCTTATGATTATGCTCAATCAACTGTTCAGCAGGCAACATTGGTGTTTATGGCGCGTAGAATAGAGGACAAAAATCATGGCTACTATGTCACACTGCAGATAACAGTGTTGCCCACAATACAGTTGCTTAATCTTGCCATAAGATTATCAATCCCTAAGCAATTAATAACTATTTAGTTTGACGTTTGGCTGAAAAACAATTTTTCTGCAAAGTTGTAGCTTATAAAAATTCCCATAAGAATAGTAATAGAATTTGTTAACAGTACAATACGTAAAAAGGCTAGAAGACAATGAACAAAAAGTTTTGTTTTCCCATAGTAATTTCCATATAAACTGCAAATAGTTAGTTAATAGACTTATTACGCAGACAACATATCAAGAAGACTGGCAACTTTGCCTGAATCCAAGCGACAGACACAGTAGCGCTACGCTCGAGCAAAGGTGGAAGCAACGCATAGAAACATGAGCAAATACAGGATGGAACCTTTGCTATTCAATTCGTTCGGAGTATTTACCTTTGACGCAATTCTGCCTGTCTCATACTGGACGTATGATAAAATGGAAGAGTTGCCAGTCTTCTTGATATTTTGTCTTCGCTTATTGTTAGGCTCAAACAACTGTTCACATTGGTGTTTCTGGGGCATAGCATAGATCACAAAAAAAAACATGGCTACTATTTGACACTACAGAATAAGGTGTTGCCCACAAAACAGCTACATGATCATGCCATGGGATTATCAATCTCTCAAACAACTAATAACTATCCAATTTAACGTTTGGCATAAACACGCAGTGAGCAATAAATTGTCACGAGATCAGTTATGAAATTTCGTTCTACTTTTTTGTTAGGATAGTTCGACAAAAGCATTGATATTATAATTTACTACAGCCGCTAAATTTCTTTCTCATTGGAAGTCATTTGTAGTTGACACACAAGTCATCTGATGCCAAGGACAAGGGAAAGGAATCTTTCGAAAATCGTGTGCGAGTGCCACTGTTTTTCTGTTGGCGTTACTCTTATACATATTCTCTAATTCTACCATTCCCCAAAATTCCTTTAAAATTTCCCCCACAATTACCTTGGAATTCTCCTTTAACTTCGTAAGTAACGGAGTTTTAGCATAGAGGTAACTCTAAGATCAGAAGGTCCCGAAATAACGTGCTCAACTTTTTGGCTCAGCTCTGGTACTCTCTTCGGTCCCAAGCTAATCGATTCACCCCTCGAAACATAGGAAAAACCAATAACCCCTAATTTTATGTGTCAAACTTTCATCGCGAATCAAAACAAACATTGCGTAGTACTAGAATTTCGACTGGAATGGGATACGTTAATCGATTTGCTTGGGACCAATAGGCTAGTCAAGTAGTGAACCAATTTGAAATCATGGCAGCCAACTTGACAGTTGAATTTGGGGAAAATACTTTGTTTACACCCAGTGCCAGTCGGTATATGCAGTTTCTTTAAGCATGAGTTTAACTTATGGAATACTGTTCTTACCGAGGGGGACGACTCTATCTACGATGCAGGAAATATTGTATTTTGCTGTGGCTAACTGCGCGTACGCTGAGTAGATAGAAAGAAGATTTATCACGATTTTGCAGATTTCCTGCAAAAAGATGATGCGCGATGCAAGTAGATGCGAGAAATGAAAGAAGATTTTTCAAAGATTTATTGGGTAGTGTGAGATTTTTTGAGCATCTTGAATTGAGATTTAGATGTGTCGCCCCCCTCGGTTCTTACCAGCAAAATGCTGTATTTATTGACGATAAATCAACAACAATCCTATGGGTGTTTGACTTACCTCATATTCCCCTGAACATGGTGATTTAAGTACTTATTTGTTATTGCGTTATTTTCTCAGTGCGTATTCAAATAACAAATAAGTTGAATATGTTAAATTTCAAATAACAGACTAAAGTGGTAATTTTTATACGTTAGAGTACGGCAGTGTGAAAATTGTATATAGAGAGTAGAAAGCGAGCAAGGACAACATTGAGAAATTACAAATCGGTTAGATCATTTCGCTTTACCAATGGATGGTGAGGGGTATTCCACCCCGCCATCACTGGCAAAAAGAAATTATTGCCGACTCGCTCATGTACCGACGATGTGTTTGGAACAGCTCTGGCGACTTTTACCGCACTCAAGTTGTTATCTGAAGGAAGGCAGGTAGAAGGAAGGTAGGAAGACGTAGATTTGGAAATGGCAGCTATTGTAACGTCTAGCTTTTTGACAGTGACGGCGGGGGGAATATCACTCACCATCCCTCTTGAACAGGGGAGTTTGGTAAAGGGAGATGTTGAAACCGAATTGTATCTTCTCGAATTTGTCCTTGCTCGTTTTGTATTTCCCTGTCGCTTGGAAATAAGAAAAATGCGGGATGAAGATAAATATTTCAGACGATAGACATGGAGAGAGAGAGAGAGAGAAAAAGAGAGAGAGAGAGAGAGAGAGAGAGATAGACAAAGAGAGAGAGAGAGAGAGAGAGAGAGAGAGAGAGAGAGAGAGAGAGAGAGAGAGAGAGAGAGAGAGAGAGAGAGAGAGAGAGAGAGAGAGAGAGAGAGAGAGAGAGAGAGAGAGAGAGAGAGAGAGAGAGAGAGAGAGAGAGAGAGAGAGAGAGAGAGATTGCATTCAATGCATGAATTTGTATATTGTGTGGCAAGGGAAGTCGAGAAAATTTCCAACCCGAAAGATTTCCTCGACCGGACCGGGAATCGAACCCGCCGCCTCCAGCTTGGTGATACAATAGAGATAACTCTAAGACTAGAAGGTCCCGAAATAACGTGCTCAACTTTTTGGCTCAGCTCTGGTACTCTCTTCGGTCCCAAGCTAATCGATTCACCCCTCGAAACATAGGAAAAACCAATAACCCCTCATTTTATCTGTCAAACTTTCATAGCGAATCAAAACAAACATTTCGTAGTACTAGAATTTCGACTAGAATGGGGTACGTTTATCGTTTGCTTGGGACCAATAGGCTAGTCAAGTAGTGAGCCAATTTAAAATCGTTAGTTTCGCATTGATTGTTGGTAATACCGTGCCTTTACTGACTAGGCCCCTGTTCACTCATAATCGCCAAAAGTGCAGGAACTCAGTGATGAGAAAATTTGCCTCATGTTTTCCTGTGGAAAAACTCAAAAATCTGCCGGGAAATGAGCAAAATTGATGAAAATTTTGCTCAGTCTAGGAGTAGCACCAATAGACTGAGTGAATCAAATCTTTATTTTTTTCATATTTGGGAATTTTTTCCTGTACAAACGTGGAAAAACATGAGGAAAATTTACTCATCGCTGAGCTCCTGAACTTTATTTGAATTATGAGTTAACTAAACTCAAGTTTGGGTCGTTCTCATTAGCCGTGTTGATTAATACTTTTAATGTGAGTTCATAAGAAACTTTAGCCTTAACTTCAAGGCAATTCGAAGAAAAATTGTGAGGGAAACTTGGGGTGAAGTCTGAATATTGCTTGCCAGGTAGTTTTAAAGAAATCCAGATTCCAGGAGAAACCTTAAGAGAATTCCAAGTTTGTTCTGAGAGGTTCTGAGTATAATTTAAAAAGAATCCTAAATAGGATTCAAAGCAAATTCGAAAGAAAATTCTATGAAATTTACGAGATTATTTTGAAGCATTCTGAAGAAAATTCCAACATAATTCTGATGATATTTTAATCCTGAGAAGAATTGAAAGGCAATTAAAAGGAGAATTTCTGACAGCATAGAAACTAAGCCGAAACATAACTCCATAGGATTTTTCGGAGAATGCTTAGTGTCAGTGTCTGTTTTTATCGAGGGGGACGACTCTATCTACGATGAAGAAAAGATTGTGTTTTGCTGTGGCTAGCTGTACGCACGCTGAGTAGATAGAAGGGAGATTTATGTCGATTTTCAAGATTTCCTGCAAAAAGATGAAGCACGATGCAAGTAGATGCGAGAAATGAAAGATGGTTTTTCGAAGATTGATTCGCAAGTGTGAAATTTTTTGAGCATCTAGAATTGAGATTTAGATGTATCGCCCCCTCGGTTTTTATCATTTACCATCACAAGCAAGGAGTAGCGCTTCAACTCACTGTAGATGAATTGCGTTGGTTTTGAATATCTTCGCTGTGAAGTATGAGCGAAACGAATAAATGAGTCAATTAAACAGCAACGAATACGCGTTTGTTGATATTCACCACTGCTTGCTTTTCCA